ATTTTAATTTGGACCTATGTAACATGCTCTGTGGCATGGCTTACACAGCTGCCTGTATTTGACTCCCCATCCACAACCCAAACAGAAAGAAATTACGGACATTTTTTCAGTAAAATGCAGTTTCCGTGTAGTTTGCTACTTTGAATGGATGCCTCTGTGGCCCACCCATCCCCACTGGGCCAACACAAGAGTACTTCACAGTCTGCTTCTCAGAGACAAGGCAGATTAGACAAGTAGCTGCCTCACGCCAGTGTTTACATCTGAATAGGACAACCCAAAAATCAGCAGCTTCCAGTCACTCAGAAGGGAAATCTGCACTCCAGAAATCAATGACGGTTGAAAGAAAAGTATAGCAGAGGGAAGACAGAAAAAAGAAAGGGGCAGCATGAAGGAGATGATGAGCTGTGCTGTCTGTGACCAGCAGTACACAATATGGACACCACTTTTAAGTAGCTTATAATTCAGGGGTTTAAAAGCTTTCATTTACTTACCTTTCGCACAACCACGTGTTCACTAGGATTGATGATCAAGGCTTCCCTTTCCTCCTCAGTTTCCATCTGAACAGAGTATTCGCTAAGTACAGACCTGTAACTGCTTAATTCAAATCTAGAGAAAAATCAAAGGGAGATAACGGAGCTCTGAATTACCTGCTCTTTTAAAGTACTGAATTCATGTAAGAAACATTATTTTGTATCCTCACATTACTGGGGGAAGGTCCCCCAAAAGGCAGTAAGACTTAGTTTATGTTGCCAGCTCTCTTTCAATCTCTATTTACAATCTACTCTCAAGGTGTTTCACCTGTTCAGAATAACCCCGCCATCGCCAGCTGACAGAACGATGATGGACACTGAGGCAGGCTGATGGATAATGGTATTTTAAACCAAAACAGTGGCTGTGCTAAAGCTGTTATAGGTGAGATTTTTTTCTAACTTGTAAAAAAAGAAATACCACTGACTACCAAGCCCCACACCTGAAGCAAGACACTATATTAAAAAAAAAAAAAAATATCCCAAAGCTGGCAACATTTTCTTGATCCACAGAGTTAAACCCAGCTTTTTAACAGTTACACACACACTTCCACTGCTTCAGGTACTCTGGACTCACAAACAGGTTCTATTATTTGACTGTTCGAGTTGTTCTATTATTTGCTCAGAAATCCAACCCCATAGGAAAACCTGTCACTAATTGCACTAAAAACGAAAGGCAAACAAAAATCTGACGCCCCTTTTCCCAGTTCTGCAGCAGACTCTGCATTTACTCCAGGCATAGTGTAAACAAAAACCTGACCATGCATTCATCCAAGGGGAAGCAGAAGCGAAAGGTGGCTTTGGCTCCCTGGACATGCAAGTTAAACCCTTACGTGGGTATGAACTAACGCCCCAATCTAACTGCCGCGTACTTCAAAAGCACAACAAAACAAAAAACCCACACCGTTTCACAGACACTTTTCTTTCAACAGAGAAAAACCCTTGTTTGGTGGCTTTGGCTCCCTGGACATGCAAGTTAGTTCATACCCACGTAAGGGTTTAACGCCCCAATCTAACTGCCACGTACTTCAAAAGCACGACAAACCAAAAAAACCACGCCATTTCACAGACACTTTTCTTTCAACAGAAAAAAAACCTTGTTTTACAAACAGGAGTATTTTACCTGTTGTTTCGCTCCTCAGAGAGTCCAAGAGCCTCTTCTGCAGCTTCCCTCCTCCTCTTCTCTTCTGACAGGGTTTCTGTCAGCTGTGAGAGCGCCTGCTGCACCGAATCATACTGTTGCTCGCTCTCTGCAAGCCTAGGACAAAATGAAATCTGAAATCAGTGTTTTACGTAAAGATTTACTTTCTTGTTCTTTACTGTGACAAAGACTTAACCATAATGGGATGCTTTAGACACCGAAATAAAGCCACCAGTAAGTGTATCTCTTCACAAAAACAAGTCACAGATATTACCAGACGATAACAATTCCAGAATATGACTAGGATTCATTTAATCCACTGTAAATCCACTTCTTTCCCTTTTCCCCCACAATGCCTTAGAGGGATAGAAAAGCATTACTTTTGCACTTACAACGCAGCTGTCAGGAAAACAATATTGCTAATACATGCTCTCAGTCCTGACCTTTTTCTGAGTTCATTTAGCTCCATATTGTCTATTTCAACAATAATCGCAGATCTTTCCTGTGGCGCTCCAGGGGGAACTTCTGCTCTAGTTTCATCCTAGACAATGTTACAGGGGGGAAAAAAGCCAGTCACTACTTTTCTAGTTGCTAAAAATCATTATTTCCATTAAAGAAGCCATAAACACCACAAAGCAGTGGAACAAACCACTCTTTATTTCATATATGTATCCACATGCTATTTTAGGGTATCATCTTAATTGATTGTTACCAAATAACCAATGTGGTACAGGAAAGCTTCTTAAACATGAAGAGATCACAACGGAATAAGCTTACAAATGTGTATGAGGGGCTGGCAAAAGGTACTGAAATGCTGAACTGGTGGTACAGATCTCACTTCTGAAAATATTAGTCAAACACCTTGCAAAACAACTCACGACTGATGTGAAATTATCACTAAAACTTTGCTGATCCAGTGACTAGCAATCATCCAATTACCTCTGCCAGCTTCAAAAAAGATAATACTTCAAAACGAAACAGCATGTACGAACAGCTTCCTTAAATGAAAAGTCAAATAAGAACAGCTTTACAACAATAACGACAGCTATCTTCAGCGCATCATGAGCTGGCAAAAGTACTGAATCAGTGCAACAAAAAGCATTTACTTCATTTTCAGCACGAAAACCAGAAAAGCATAAGCACAGAAGAAAAAAAACTCTAAAAACATTTCCATAGTATTTGTTTACCTGAACAGTGCCTTGGAAAGTTGTCACTTGCATTGTCTGATATTCCCTCTCCAGTCTTAAATAACGATTTTGCAAGTCAGTGTAACGAAGCTGGTTATCCCTTAGAGTCTGCGAAAGAGCCTTCAGCTGGGCAGACAAAACAGCATTCTCTTCCGCTGACTGCACCACCTGAAAGAAATTAACATTTTAAATAAATAAAAATTAGGCATTACCTCGTCCAGGAAATCACTACAGATTTGAGACCTGCTGCTGAAAACAACCAAGCACTAGTTTCAAAATCACATCAACTTTTTGGCAAGGTCTCAGTTTGGTAAGATTTAACTAGTTGTTTTATGAGCAGCAGAAATAATGAAGCCTGAGTATTGATTTCCCCTGTCATCGATAGGCCCAAACCAGAAACTTACAGGTTTGAACCCCAATGCCTTCATCCCCGTGTTTGCTATGGTATCGCCACCTGGCAAAACACAGTATCCGCAGTGGCTACTTCAGGACAATGCATATAGCCAAACGAGCCTGACAGTATAAACACGTTCACCAGGCAGCACTTTTCATCTTTTCAAAAAAAAAAAAAAAAAAGACCATGATTTGGGTCTCCACCCATTACCCAAACACACATCTTCACTTGTAGGAGTTTGAGATTCCTACACCTGTTTCATAGTTTGGTTAAAACTGTTATTAGGTTTATAGAATGTTTGGGTGAAGGACTGAAAACTGACACAGATGAAAGTTAACATAATTTACTTCCAAGGCCACACAAAGGTTAAGGGCATTTCCAAGTACCTTTACAAACTCTTCTGGACAAAACCGAACACAAACACACATGCGCACGCAGACACACACGCTCTTACCGTCTGAGCAGCCACAAAAGTGTTCATCAAGCATTTGTAAGGAAACATTTTTGTGGTACTCAAAATTTGGTATAAGATAGCTAAAATCTTGTTCCAGCTGAGAGAGACACCTGTTCCTGTCTATAATGGAAGTATTTTACTTTGAGCAGAAGTTCAGCAGTGCCCCATCAACGTCTTCAGAATGCAGATTCCAACAAAGCGCTCTCAGTCAAATAACAAGTCAGGAAAGCCTGACAGATAACACTGACATTTAGTTCGCAATTTCTAGTCTGAGCCAACAGGGTTGTTTTGAAGAATCTAAGTTTTGAAGCAAACCTTCAGTTATCCAAGACACCGCCAATTTAGCAATACTTTCATGTCGATACCAGCTCAGACTCACACGAGCTGTTTAGGATCACAGCTGTTGTTCTAAGTTACCTTTGAATTAATCTGCTGGAAATGCAGATCCTTCTGGTGCATCTCCTGAAGACAGTGCTGCAGTTCATTCTGAAGCTGATTCCTCTCAGCTAAGACATGTTTCATTTCCTCTGGTTTATCTGCACTTCCAGCAAGGGAGGCGGTTTCTAAAACCTTAGAAAGTATTAGCATATTCTGGGTAAATGGTACAGGAGTTCTCACAATAATATTCAGCTCCAACACTACATAGACAAATGGACCACATAATAATTTCCTTTTCACAAGATCATTTCCTTCCCACAAGTTAATACCACATTTGCAAGAGACTTTATACATAAAAAAATAATCTTCTACTTACGTGTTTTCAACCTCAATATTTCCATTGGATAAAAAAACCCAATAAAAATTACCATGAAAAGGCAATGCAACTTATTTTTTAACTTGCAAATAGCATGAAGCACAAAAAAAAAGGGAAAACACAGAGAAAGCCAGATGAATATAAAACACCTTTCAAAAATTACTTTCAGACACAATAATGTACAATTTTCATGACTTGTAAAACAACAGCTATTTTGTAAGTACAGATTTAAATATGAAAGTCCATTTTGAAAAAACGACCAAAAAAAAGAGTCAACATATGAGAAACTCATGATTTTTCTTTAAAAGAAGTTGATCCATTGATCAGACTCCATTAAAGATTTGAGCGGTTTTAATAACTGCGACTCATATGCTCGGAACAGCTCTAACTTGCTGACGCGACCCCAGGCACCACGGACACACAGGCAAGGCACTCCCCAGCCTGCCACACTTCACGGTCACATGCTGTATGGCTCTTTTGGAAGCAGGCTGCACATTTAACACAATAAACTGATGGCAGCAGGTTTGTGCCTCCTGCTACATTTCATTTATTTACCTTGACAGGGTAATTGCTGCCAGCAGAGACCGATTTCTGAACAATCGTGTCTTGTTGCAGCTTCTGTAGTTCTGCAATCTGTCGGTCCTTCTCAGCAACTGCCATCTGACACTGATTTCGCAGGGCCTGGGACTCTGAGAGGAGGAGGTTTTTTTCCATTCTGAACATAAAATATTAGACTAGCTGTTAATGAAGATATACTACACACAAGTCAGTGAAACGGATAAAGCTGTACTTACTGTTATTTCTGAAATAAATAATGGTTTTTGAACAGTTATATGCAAATAGGGAGCACCATGTGAGCATTCTCAACACATACTTCTGTTAAAAAAATATTAATCAGGGATCCTTTCACACTTCACTCATCTGCACAAGTTTAAAAGCTTGAACTAGAACAGCAGTCTAAGATGACCAAATCTTGAGCTGCCTCCACTGAGCACCGCTTAAAAATGCCTACTGCCTTCTTTGGAGCAGACCTTATGAGGCATTCACAGAGTGAGGCCCAAGGTGTCACATTATTCGTCACAGAGGATGCAAGATGTGAACGGTGCTGAAGCGAACTCGTTAAAATCTAAAAAAAATAATGCTCAAATGCGAAATGAATTTAATTTTCAATATGTAGTTGGGCCAAATATGCAGCACCTCAGCTTTTAGGGGGGAATGTTCAGCTGTATCAGTCGTTACTCTAAGAGGAGAATATGATACCAAGCATTGAAATAAGATTCTTAAACTGTAGTTCCGTATATCCAAGTCACCAACAGAACACAAAACATTCAATTAAGACTGTTTGAAACGTTACATAAACCAAGAGACTGTTACATGAAGGTACAAGGGTAACCACAAACAAAGACAACCCTGTGGAAGTTGATTTCGCACATTACAGAAACCTTCTTACCCTGCTTCCTGCAAAACTACACATAATTTTGGTTTCGTGTCAGTTTTATGTCAGGCTGCGAAGTCACTGAAGAATTCTAAACAAGGGCCACACGTACCGCTTAATTTTAACATTTATACCTTAATCCAGCAAGCTCATTCTGGTATGATGCAATCTCTCTCTCAGTTTCTGCTTGGAAGGCTTTTGTCTGATGCAATGCCTTCTCCAAATCATCAACCTTGGTCTTCAGTTTTGATATTTCAACAGCTGCAAGGCTGGCTCCTTCTTTAGCCTATGTTTAATAAACATGGTTAGTGAACTGGAATGAAAGCTGCATGTTGAAGATTTATTAAGTGATTGAATTCCAATTACAGAATAATGGTCTTTCCCCATTTGCTCCTGTTTAACAGAATAATTACCTAAACTCCCCAAGTTGTAAGCACGCCTCCTCTAGTCACACAATGTTTTCTTCACACTCCCCTCATTTACAAAAGTTAAAACTTCAGAATCCATAATGTCTCTAAGCATTCTCTGCATAAAGAAAAAAACTACAAAGCGATGTAGCTAATTAAAACTTACCAACCTTTCCCTATTGTTCTGAGGCGCATCCAAATTACTTTTAAAAGAATTTCTCTCATTGATGCTGTTGCAATCAATGGAAAATGAAGCTGTGCCCTGTTTTGTTTCAGAAGTTACCTTCTGATTGCTGAGTTCCTGCAGCAATTTGTCTCGGTCATCCTGAAGACTGGCCATAGCCTTGGAAAACGCTTCAATCTGGTGAACGTAATTCCCACACTCTGATGACAGCCTGGTAACCTCCATCTCTCGACTGACTAATGTCCTACAGAGATTTTCAATTTCACCAGCAATCTGATCAAGTGTAACCTTATCTGCAGCATCAAAAATAGCCTGATCCAGAAGAGCATTTTCTTTGAGCGTACTGATAAGATGCAATTTAAAGCCATCCACTTCAGCTTCAAGTTCATCTCCTTTCTTTTTTTCAGTCTTGAGTTCAGAAGTGTATTTGCTCTGAAGTACCTTTAAGTCCTCTATTATCCTCTCTCTATCATTTTGCAGAGCAGTCATTGCTTTCCCAAAGGCCTCATTTTGGGACCTCAGCTCGCTATTTTGAGACTGGACTTCTAATATCATCTTCTCTGCAAAAGCACCAGGTTCATCTCCACGTTCAAGTGTCAAAAAAGTCTTATTGTATTCCCCATCTGCACCCTTAGTATTTCTACTTCTTGATTTCTGGAGTTCTTGAATCTTCTTCTGAAGGTTGTCTCCATACTGTCCATTTGACACACATTCTTTGTTCTGAATACCATCGCTAGTTAGCAGTTTCCCTCCAGATTCAGAAACAAGTTTCTCTTTGTTTAATGATGCAACTAAAGATTCCAAATCATTTACTTTAGACACTAATTTTTTATTTTCATGTTCCAAAGACACAGCAGTATCCTTTTGCAGTTCATTGGAAAGTTGCATGTCTTTTATTTGTTTCTGAAGATCATATTTTTCTTGTTCAAGGCTTTTAATACAATCCAATTTCTGCTTAAGTAAGTCTTTCAGCTGATGGTCTTTCAGAGATAAAACTTGGTTAAGATCTTCCCTATATTTTATCAGCTGTGCACTTAGCATTGCATTTTCAGAATGAAGATCATCTATCTGATTGAGAAGTATCCTTAATTCTTGTTTCAAAGCGTTATTCTCACTTGCGCTGCCAACTAGAAGACTGTCCCGCTGATTTAAGACATCTCGGTGAAGCTGTTCCAGCTCTTTGTATTTAGAAAAAATATCATCTCGATCATTCTGAAGAGATGACATCGATTTTTTAAAGGCATCTATTTCACTGGCAATTGCAGCCTTATCTTGACCTGCTTTGTCTGCTTTCATCTGGAGATTTCTCAATTCATTTTCCATCCTCTGACAGGACTCCTCAGATTGTTGCCTCTCTGTCTGCAAAGACCTTAACTGGAGTTCATACTCTTTGATTTGTTTTCTGTGTTGAGTCTGTACCTGAATCAGATAGTCAGAAATTTCATCACCTTTTGAAGAAATGAGCAAGGAAATTTCTTTGTCTTTATTATTCAGCATGATCTTCATTTGCTCAGAAATGGTAATCTGCTTTTGCAGTTCAGCATTGATTTTTTCCTTCTCTGCTAGAAGCTGCTGCAATTCTTGTTCCTGCCTTGTAAAATTACTTTCCAGAGATTTTATCTCTCTTCCTGCACTTCTACTATTCTCTAAGAGATGATTAAGAGAATTATTTTCTTTAAGGAGTGCTTGCAAAGCTGCTTCTTTGGACTGAAGAATACTCTCCAATTCTTGCTGCCTGTTACGAAAAAAGGTATTTTCTTCCTTTATTCTGCAGAGCTCTTCATAGCGTTGCATGTCAGCAGATTCTTGCCTCAAACACAGCTCATCCTTCGTTTCCTCTACCGCAGAATATTTGATACTCAGTTCTTGAATCTGAGTAATTTTGTCTTTCAATTCATCTTCTAAAGTCATTATTCTTTTATTACTGTCTTCGATCTGTTTCTCTTTATTTTGGATGGCCTCTTTGAACTGCATTTCCCAGGTTTTCATTTCAGTGACTACCCTGTCCCGGTCATCCTGAAGAGAGGACATACACTTCGTAAAGGCAGCCAATCGTGCCAAAGCTGCATTCAAATCTGCTTGAAGTTTCTTGTTTTGAGACTCCTTAATGCTAACTTCCTCCTGCAAAGCACGAATCTCACTAATTGCCCTATCTTTTTCTCTCTCAAGGGCACCATGTCTTTCCTCTACATTCAAAAATTCTCTTTTGTGAACTGATTTTAATTGTTGAAGATTAAATTCCAATTGTCTCTCATATTCTTTCTTTTGAATTTGTAGTTCATCTTCTTTCTTCTTAAGTTCTTTTCTCCAATTTCGATTCTCATCCGTAAGCCTGTCCACTTCATTCTTTGACTGATCCAGTAAGCTCATCTGTGAAGAAAGCTTCCCCTTGAGATGATGTATTTCTTCATTTGACTTCGCAAGCTTTTCTGATGTATTACTTAAGTCCTTTTCAAGTTTTTCACTTTTGGACTGTGACAGCTTCACAGATCTTTCCAAATCCAGGATCAGCTCCTGGAACTTTATAGAATCCTTTTGCAAATGGTTGATCTCCTGCTGTTTCTCCTTTAAGAGTTCTTGCAACTCTTTCGTTTTGTTTTTACTTCCGTTATTATCCCTCTGAGCACTTTTCACCTTTTCCTCAAACATTTTTACAAGATGTAACTGCTGTTGTTCTTTTTCTCTAATCACATTACATTTTTCTGCTTTTAACTCTTCCAGTTGCTGTAACAGCAAGTTATTCTGAACCTGCGCTGATTTCAATCTATCAGTAAGATGATCAACCTTTTTAACATGATTAAGCAATTCTGTCTCAAGAAATTCTCTCTCGTTCTTTACTTTGCAAGAACTTTCTTGTACATTTTCTAATTCTTCCTGTAACAGACATTTATCATCCTCTAAAATCTTAACTTTTTCATTTAGACTAACAATTTCTTGTGTAAGACTTTTACGTTCCATGTCCAGCTTTGTTAGACAATGATTTTTATGGTCCAAAGATTTTTCAGTTTCTTTCGTTTTTTCTGAAATTAATTTTCTCTCTTGTTCTAGGACAAGCACATCTTGCTCTTTTTCAGAGAGCTTATCCTTTAACGCATTAATGTCCTTTAACAATGATTCATTCTCATATAACGCATCACTGATTTTAGATTGCATATCATTTTGGTACACTTCCATTTGAACTTGGAGCTCTCCCAAGGCTGCTTTGGTTACAGTGATGTTATTATGGAGGATATCATTTTCATTCTGAATTTTCTCTAAAGCCTGCTTTAAATTTTCAGAAGTCTGTTTCAGCTGCTCATTTTCCTCCATTAGCTGATGATTCTGTTCAGTGAGTTCATGAAGACGATCCTGGTGCTCTCGCATCCTTGCCTCTTGCTCACGTATCTGCCTTTCTGCTTTACTTTGTAATTCCTCAACTTCGATTTCCTTGGATTCGCCAAGTTGTTTCAGCTGATTCTTAATAACCTCATTTTCATCAACGAGTTTTTGTAAATGCTTCTCAAGAGCCTCCTTCTCAGATTCTCCTTCCCTGAGCCTTTGAACAGCTTCTTGCTTCTCTTTTCTACTGAGATCAATAACTTGCCTCATATCTGCTATTTTACTACTGATATTCTCATATGCCTGAAGAAGCGATTCATACTCCTGCTTTAATTCACTATGTTTAGCCTTCCATCCTGTTAATTCAACTGTCTGAGAATCTTTTAATGTATTTAGTTGGAAAGAAAAGGCCTCTTTTTCCTGAACTATAGTCTCCATGGTGGATTTAAGGCTTTCACATGCCGCGCTGAGGTTTTCGTTTTCAGTCAACAGCCTAGCATTTTCAGAAACAAGGCTCTCCTCTTCAGACAGTGGAGCAACAGCACTTGAACTTTGTTTTTCTCTACCAAGCTCTAACAAGTGTTCGAGCATCCCTGTCTTGTTCACCAGTTCTTCTCTTTCCAACATCAGCTTATCGATCTGGTCTTTCAGACTTTTATTTTCTCTCAGCGCTTCTTTACGAGATATTAAAGCCGCCTGTAATTTTCTTTGAAGGTGCTCTCTGGACTTCTCTTCTGATACAGTTCTTTGCTCTTGTGGTTTGGAATCATTTACATTTGCAGTTTTTGCCAGTGGCTCTTCAATCATTTGCATTTGTTTCTGGATGTGACATTCTGTTGCTTCTCTCGGTTTAGTTTTCCCAGAGTAATCAGTCTCTGGTAGTTGAAAACAGGTGCCTTTACCGTGCAACTTGCCTTGAAGGGAATTACTTTCCGAACAAAACTCTCCCAATTCTTTTTCAGTATCATTTTCTTCCTTAAGCTCTTTGCATGACCCCACAGGTCTACTCATCTCAGCCTTCTCACGTAGCATACGTAGCTCTGTCATCAGCTTTTTGTTTTCTTCACTGAAACGTTTTACCTCCTTTTTCATATCAGTTAGTTCCAAATTGGACTTTTCTAAACAACTGACAAGTTTCTCTTTTTCAATCTTCGTTTCTTCAAACGCTGTTTTGTAATGGCGAGCTGCTTCTTCACCCTGCATTATGGCTTCATTTAATAATTTTTTTTCCAGATCAAGTTTATCTTTGAAATCTTTAACTGAACAACGCAATGCTTCTATTTCCTCATTCTTTTCTGCAACCTCCTCCTTAGCTTCAATTCTCAATCTCTGCAGTTTCTCCTGGCTCATCTTGTAATCCTCTTCATTCTTTTTCATAAGTGCTTCTTTCTCATTACTCACACGTTCAAGCGCTGTCTTAGTGTCCATAGCTTCAGCCTCATATGCTTTCAGCTTCTTCCGTAGCTGCTTTATGTCCTCCAACAAGCTGCCCTTATATTGCTCCTGGTACTGCTCCTGCTGTCTTACAGAGTTCATATTGACTGTTTCTTCCCTTTCACCACCAAATTCAACTGCTATTTTTCTCAACTCGTTCTTTAACAGTTCTGTTTCCTCCTCAAGTTTTGCATAATTACTTCTTAGCTCTTTTAACTCAGTGTCTTTACTTGTCACTAAAGTGATCATGTTTTCTGACTCTTTTAAGGATGGAACCTCAACCTTGCTTCTTGGTTTGTCTGGTTCCAAATTCCTTAAACCAGCTGCTTCTTTCCCCAGCACTGCCTTAAGTGAAGCCAGCTCGTTCCCTAGAGGGTACTTTTCTAACTGATTACACTCCAGTTCTTCACATTTTGTTTGAAGAATTTCCCAGAGTGCTTTATGTTCTTGTTTGAGATTCTCAAGGTAGTTTTTTTGTTCATCAAAATCTGCTGCAAGTTTAGTGTGCATTTCCCTTTCTTTCTGAATTTTTTTAATATCTTCTTTCTGGACCAAAAGCTCCCTCTCTAAGGCTTCTTTCTCTTTTTTTAATTGACTCATTACATTAATGTCATTGTTGGGGGTCAGACACTTAGTGCTATCATCAGCACTTAAATCAGGCTCTTCTGAACTGGAATTTTTCAACAATTCTTCCTTCTTAACTTCAGACTTCGCCTTTTCAAGAGCCAAGAGCAGCTGAGAACGTTCCTTTTCATATGCACTTGCTTTTTCATCGAACACAGACTGCATATGAGCAAGTATGCAGTCCTTTTCCTCTAAAAATTTTAGGTTCTGTTCACATACAGTTTGTTTTTCAGCAATGACATCATTCAGTTTTGCAATATTGTCCTGAAGTTCCTCTAAGTAGGAGGCTTTTGCAGACAAAATTTCAGTCAACTCAGTTATTTTGGCATCTTTTTCTAAAAGTTGTTGCTTCAAAGTTCCAAGATGAGACTCAAAATCTTTATTTAGTACTTCAACCAGCTGCAGCTTGTCTGTTAACTCATTAACTTTCTTCAACAACTCCTCTGCTTTTTTTTGCTCTTTTTCTATTTCTTCCTGTCCACTCTTTTCTAGTTTTCCAACTTTTTGCATTAGATCTCTTCTTATTATCAAAGCTGCCTGAAGTTTCTTTTTCAGATTCTCTTTTTCCTTGCCCATTTTCTCAAGATTAAACTGCATCTCCTCTTTTTCATTCATTAAATCCTGAAACATGGCTTCTCTACTGCTCAACGTAACCTGAGAGTGTTCCAATTCTTTCTTACAGTCCTCAAGTTCCTGCAATACTCGGTTTAGTTCTCCTACAGAATTATTATGAACAGCTTCAAGGTCTTGCAGTTTGGCATTTAATGTACTTCTCTCTTCAGAAAAATGAAGCATTTCATTAGACAATGATTCCATGATCTGGGTAACAGAACAGTCCTTCTCTTTCAGTTGCTGGCTTAGACTAGAAACTAAATCCTTCTGCTGATTTACCTGGGAAGTTAAGTTTTCGATGAGTTGATCTTTTTTTCCCATTTCTTCAAGGAGACTTGTTACTTTGTTACCTTCGACATGCAGCTTTTCTTGACTGGTTCTTGCTATTTCTTCTGATTTATTTATCTTGTCTTGAAGAAATTCAACCTGCTTATTTATTTCTGCAAAAGACTCTTCCCTTTCTTGCAAGAGAGACTGTTGTTTACATAACGTTTCCTTGACTGTGACCATTTCTTCTGACAGACACTCAATTTCAGATTTGTATTTGTCCTTCACCTTTTCAATATCATTATGTAGCAACTCCTTCTGCTTCTCACGTGCCTGCATACTTTTTAATTCGTCTTTCATGATGTCTATTTCTTTCTGTTTTTCTAAAAGTGCCAGTTGCAATTGTTCTCCTTCTGTTTCTTTGCTCAAAATAGTGGTTACCAGAGCGGAGAGTTTTTCCAACTGAATTTTACTATCAGTTAGCTGCAGTTCCGAATCTGAAGTCTGTGCCGCCTCTTCTTTACTTAAAAGCCTACTGCTAAGTAATGGAGATACACTTCGACTTAATTCCTCTTTTATAAGATCCAGCTCTTGCTGCAAAGACTGGATTTTGCTATCCTTTGATTTCATTTCATTTGCTAAACCACTCAACTGCTCAGTAAGATTATTATTTTGTAAAGTTGCCCTATCAAGTTCTGTCACCCATTTGTTTTCTGACTCACGCAGACTCTGTTCTAGAGTTTCAAATTTAAGTTCTAATTTAGAAAGTTCTTCACCCTTCACACTAACCTGCATCTGTAACTTCTCTTTTTCAGTCTTCATCTGCAGTTTGACAGCATCTATCTGCATTCTTGAATAATTCTCACTGGTTTCTAGTTTTTCATTGGTTTCTCGAAGTTCTTCCAATTTCTTTTGCAAATTGTTCTGAGATGCAGTAAGTTCTGTGTTTTCAGCCACCAGTTTTTCAGCATCTTCTTGTAACAGATTTTTTTCTTTCTCTAAAGACTCCACCTGACGCTGCAGACTACCTATCAAAAGCGCGTTGTCATGGCAGTCTTGAGAAAATTTGGAATTTACACTGTTCAACTCTAAGTTTAGATGTTCTATGTTATCTGCCTGTTCAGTGCACTTCACACGCAGAGACTCCACAGCCAATTCTTTTTGCTGTAGTAGCTCCTCCCGTGCACTTAGTTGCTCTAGTGCCTTCTGGTGTTCACTTTTAAGACGGTCAAGTTTAACAGTCAAAGAATCAATTTTCTTTTGATCAATATCAAGCGTGTCGTTCTTTTCCTGAAATTCTTTAGTAAGGTTTTTCATGGCTGTATCACTCTCCTCTAATTTTTCTCTGAGAACCTCCATCTCACTAGAAAGAACTTTAACGTTGCTATCTGCCAACTGAATACTGGTATCCTTCTCCTTTAAAGAATCAAGCAGTTCAGCAATAACAACTTCTTTTTTCTCAAGAGCTGCATTCAACTCAGTTTTTAATTCATACTGTGCTTCAATTTTCTCCTGAAGAGATAAAAAGGCACTTTCTTTCTCATGGACTAGTTCTTTAGATTTTTGTAGTTCTTGTGTTAGTTCGTGTACCTGATTTTGGAGCTGAGAAATTAGATTTGTCTTCTCTTCATCTTTCCTTGCTTTCTCCTTCAGAGTTTCAAGGAGACTTTTATTTTCTGTAAGAGATGATTCCTTTTCTGATAAGGACTGGTCCATCTCAACGATTACATTCTTCTGATGTTGTACCTCTTTTTGTAAATTCACCTTCACTTCCTCCAGCTCTACTACCTGTTTCTTTAAGACGTCACACTGATTCTCTTTCTCTTGAAGTTGTATCTTTAAATTCTCACTGAATAATGTAATATTGTTGACGGTTAATTCTTTTTCCAAAACAAGTACTTTTAATTGTTCTGCTTCAGAGGCTAAAAGCTCTAACCGTTTCTCCTGCAAAAGAGAAGATTCCTGTACCTCAGAAAGCTGTGCTTTTAAACTGATGCATTCATCTAACTTTTGTTTTAAAGATTCATCCTTCTGCACAATTGAATCATTCAACTGGGATGATTTTTCTGTCGCATTTCTAAGCTGATACTGAAGGTCAGAAATAACCTCCATATTCTCAGACAGTTGAACCCTAAGTACATCAGACTCTTCAGACTTATCTTTTAATAACTTTAATTCTTGGGCTTGCTTCTTTAATTCATTTTCTTTTTCCTGCATTGTGTGCCTCAGCTGGCTGGTTTCAATACCTAGGGCTTGTATTTGGTTTTGCAGATTTGAAATGATCTGCATATATTGCCCTTCTCCTGCCATTTTACTATCTTTCATTTGCTGAATCAAAGCCTCCTTTTCAGAAAGGAGAGTTTCTTTTTCTCCAAAGACAATTTTTAAGTTTTCTTTTTCAATCAACAGGCCATCAATTTGGTCCTTCAGAGCTAAAATATTATGACTTTGTTGGGACAAGTGTGAAGTTAAAGCAGCTACTTCATCTGACTTTTTCATTACCATACCATTAACTGTTTCAATGTCTACTTTCAATTTTTCATTTTCTAGAGCTGCTCTATGTGCTTGTTGCCTTGCTGAAGTAATTTCAGACTGTTGCTGTACCAGCTGTGACTGAAGAACTTCACATTCACGTGACTTCTCGCTCAGTAAGCTTGACAAGTCCTCCTTCTCATGCTGAAGCACATCCACTTCTTTGCTTAACAGCTGGAGCTGATTATTTAACACTGTATTTTCTTCCATTTTTTCAGAAACTTGCCTAGTAAACGTCTCAAGTTCTGAACCCTGACTTTTTACAATCAGGTTTCTTTCCTCTACCAACTGAGATAACCTTGTTTTTTCATCTTTAAGATTTTTAATGTCATCCTGCAACTCTACAATACAAAGCCTACTCTCTTCCATTTCCTTATGTAACGAATCCTTTTGAAGGATTTTCTCTTCTAGAGACCTCTTTGCAGTTTCAAAATCCAAAGTTATGCTTTGAATTTGTTCCTGCAGTAGCAAATTCTCTTCCTTACTACGGCTGAGCTCTTGAATTAGGCTACTGCATTCAGATAACTTATTATTTAACATTTCTTCTTTCTTTATTTCTTTGTCTCTAGTATCCTTCAGCTGAATGAGAAGTGATTGCATTTGTTCATGCAACTGTTGTGTCTGTTCCTTGCTTTCAAACAACTGATCAGCTAGCACATTACATTCCTTTGTTTTCTCCTGCAGCTGTTCCGCAACTGAATTTTCTTTTTGCTCAGCAAGTGCTGAAAGTTGTTCAATCTCTTTTGCCAGACTGTTTTTATCACAATTTAATACTGAAAGAGTTTTTTCATACTCAGCAGTGCTAACAGATATCTTATTTTCCATTTCTGCCACAGCCTGGATTTTCTTTAACAATTCACACTCTTTTATATCCAAGAGTTTGGACAAATTCTCATTTTCGCCGATTAGCTGTTCCTTCTCTTTTTCCACCATATCTATACTTTTTTTCAGACATTCATTTGCTTTTATTTGCTCTGCCAATTTTTCTTCTTTCCCTTCAAGATCTGCCTGCAATTGCTTATTAGCTGAAGCTTTCTCCCATGTCTCTATTTCCATTTTGTTAATTTGTTTATGTATTTCATTTAGTTGGTTATTAAGTTCTTTGCAACACATCTCTTTGGCTTTGAGATCTCCAGTTAATTTAAGTTTAGTCTCTTCATTTTGCTGCTCCAAAACCCCAAGCTTCTGCTCTAATGAAATAATGAACTCTTGTTTCGCTTGTAATTCTTTTTTAATTGTTTCCTGATGCTCAGTATGTTCCATAAGCTTCCTAGACAACTCGGCCAACTCTTCATCTTTTTTGGCATCTTCCAATACCAGTTTGTTGTACAAATCTTTAACCGATTTTAACTCATTTTCAAGTGTCTGTGCTTTACTCTCTTTCTCTTTAAGCAAATTGTTCCATTTTTCCTTTTGAGTATTGTTTTCCTCAAGCTGAGATTTCAAATATTCCGTTTCTTTCCTTTGCTTATCCTCGGTTTCTTGTAGCTTTTCAGACGACTTACTAATTTGTTCTTTCAGCAAAGTAATTTGTGACTCACACTCCGCAAGCTTGTTATGGTATGCAACACTGTTGGCCTTGATTTCAGAACGGAGATCCTTAATTGTAATGCTGTTCTCACTGCTTTGTCTTATTAATTCCTCATTTTCTTTGGTTTTAGCTTCATTCTCAACTCGAACTCTTTCTAGCTCTAGTCTCATGGTATTGCTCTGCTCAGAAAGGACAGATATCTTCACGCTTGCATCTCTTACATCAGCTGTTTGTACTTCTTTCAGTAAATGAGTTTCCCTTTCAGCCTTTGATAAAGCCTCTTCCATCCCTCGTATTTCTTCCTCTTTGCATTGCACTTGACACTTCAGGATGATAACCTGTTCAGAATATTCTGTCATATTCAAAGACAGGGCAGACATCTCCCTGTCTTTTTCGGACAGTGCTTCTTTAAGAGTATCAATTTCTCTTTCACGTTTCTGGAGATCTTGAATAAGTTGAGATCTTTCCTCTAAATGGCTTGTATTCAATTTGTCAAGCTCTTCATTTGTCTGGTCCAGATCCAGCTGCATTGACTCTACCACGCCATCTTGTTTCAAAGTCTAAACATCAAGAAAATAATGTTACAAGAATACTTCAAACGTTTGTTAGAGGGAGAACAGTTACACTCCACATGCAGAATGAGTATCTAAGGTACTCAACTGTATAGTTGCAAGATAACCACGTTATTCTTTAGATTGTTTCAGGATACAGAAAGTTTAGTGTATGACACTTTAAGCAGCTAATGCTGCATTTCGCTGCCACTTAAATGGGCCATGTCAAAAGAACATAACATTTCTTCTCTTTATTTTAATGAGTTACCTTTTCCTTCAGTGTAGCAACTTTTTCTGTTAGATCATTGATGACTGTTTTCTGCTCAGTATTCTCCACTTCATACACACTGCATTTCTTTAAGGCTTCATTCAGCTTAGTATTAAAAATAAAAGTCAATGTGATAGAAATATAGAATTATTTTTAAATTGTGATGTTAGAGTTATGATATAAAGTTTACACAACAGCGGAGTTTATACTTTGAAATTAATATATGAGAATAATTGATCACTCCAATAAAACATAAATATTTCGTGCAAAGCTCTGTGTTTGGCCTAAGAAATCCTTACATGCAACTTAAAGCAAAGCAATTACACGAAGTGAACAAAACTGTAAAGAAAGGGAGCAAAAACCTTCAGATAGGGAAAACAGCGATATTGCTGCTGGGACAGAAATAGAAAGTTACTGATAATGCTCACCAGTTCTAACAATTTAAATACTATTTAACAATAACTTTAACTTACTTTTTGCTCCATATGCACAAATTTTTCACCAAGCTCTTTGTTCAGAACATCCTTTTCTTGAAGCAGTTTCCTCAAAGTTTCAATTTGTTCCAGTTTTTCTGTTGTGCTCAACAGTTTTTGTTCTTTTTCTCCAAGTGAATTTTCAAGGAAACTATTTCTGTCACTTAATCTACAAAGAAAACACATAATTAGACATTCTGAAAAAAAGCTTGCTTTAAGCTTTCTAGATTTACTAGCCCCAAACTACTTTCCTAAAAGAATAATTATTTTTACACTTTCCATTTAAATTTCCAAGTACAAAAATAACATGACTGCAAACAGAAGCAGGAATCAAGTAACTCTTCAAGTGTTCTAAGAGATTATACTTCTCATTAGAAGTTTAAGCTTAAAGCCAAGAAAGCTAGCCCTGGACAGAGTTGTAAAGAACCTTCATTGTACCCTTTAAGCTGCTCATTCAAGCCAGAGATCAGAATTTGATGCTTTTCCGCATCTCGCATTTGCTGGTTGCGTAACTGGGTGAGTTGAGTTTGCAAACGTTCATTTTCATTCTGCAACAAAACAATAACGAAGAGCATTACCACATACAAACACACAGAACAGCGTGAGATATCTGGAGTCATGAAAATCTGACTCTTCAGATTTATATCCTACACGGTAACAAGAGGCCGTTCCTCCAGCACTTTAGCAGACACGTGTGTAAAACACAACACTAGTATCACGAGCTCAGATGTGGTATTAGTTCGAATGCAACTCACCTTGCAGAAATACCTCCTTCAGCAGTGCTAGGACCGCACGGACTCAAGGATGACGGCTGTACGCCCAAAACACCACACACACTCGTACTGTGTTAAGGCAGCTTACTTATCTTAACAGGGGAAGCTACTGCTTGGAAAAAATACTTTCCTCATTGGTTTGAAGACAGCACCAAACTTGCAAATTTTTTTTTGCTATCTTTTCAGGTTGAAGGAATGCAAAATCCTGCATTGGGGGATTGTGGAGAAATGAAAAAGGAAGCAAGCTTCGTTCACACAGGGTTTTTTAACACAGTACAAATCTACTCTAGCCAGATGCACTGCACCAATTCAAAAATAAAACCACAAAGAAAAAAAAAAAAGATCTGACAACAGCAACCAAAAAACCAAAAGCAGAACACATATCCAGAATCAACAGCAAATAGGACAAACATGGCAAACTTGTCACCTCTACCGAAAATAAGGTAGCGTTCTGGAGGAGGCAGAACACACCTGTACCGCCCTCAATAGCTGCCCTTCTTCATCTACACCAAACGTTACCTGTATTGAAAGGCTTTGTTAAAAGATTCTCAAGTAATAATTAATATAAGGTTGTCTTTCATCTTCGAATCATTCATTATTTTTTATATGTGTGCAACTTAACAGATAGAGAACTATGAGTAATGTACCAAGACTGAAAGAGTTCAACTAAGGGATCAGTTGTGTCATTTAGTGCAAATAAGGTTTACAAATTATCAAACATAGTAACTGCTCAGTCAGGCAATATTTAAAGTAACTTTCCTGATAAAGATGTACTTTACTGCTCCTTTTGGTGCCTTCGTTGAATGATTTTATAATATAAATATACATCAAATTAATATCTGGGGTTTAGATTGTGTGTATAATATGTAAATAATGTAAAAATAACTATTACATTATACATTCTATACTTATATAGTTTCTTTTCCATAAATATATGTGTGTGTGTGCACGTATATCTTATAATAATAACACCACCACCACAATTAATATCTGGGGTTTAGATTGTGTGTATATATAAAAATAACTATTACATTATATATTCTATACTTATATAGTTTCTTTTCCGTAAATATATGTATGTGTGTGTGTACTTATATCTTATAATAATAATAACAACAACATCACATACACATTTATAGAAAAGAAACTTGAGGGATGTAAGAAGAGGGAGACTTAAGCCAGCAGTAATAAAATCTAATTTTGGACCTTCTGACAAAAGGCCTCCTACAAAAAATAATGACAATCATGTCGCCTTTTACTATGTTTCTAAAACAAATAACAAAGCTTACTTCTAAACAAGGTGCTCCATGTGCTGAAGAGAAGTGACAGGCTTCAGCTTCAGAGCATAATGCAGTATGTATGTGTACACTCTCTGCCAAGTATAAAGTACACTTTCAACAGTTTTGCTATATACAAATTGATGGGTTTGTCTCACTGTAGGCTATGATTGTAAGAATATAAACAGAGAATAAAATGATTCTCTTACATCATCAGGTTTTACACAACTACAAAAGCTCACCTGAAGAGCCTCCATTCTACCTTGAAGCTGCAATCTATCTTCCAAATCCTGACAACGCTCTTCTAGAAAAAGAATTTGTTCCTGCAGTTGATTTCTTTCCAATTCCAACTCTTCAACAACACTCCGCAAACCTACTTAAGTCAAAGAAGAAAAATCATTTCAAGAAAGGTCTACTAAAATTCCTGAAGTCTAGAAATGGTTTCAGCTTTTTATTCACAGTCCTCACCAGTGTTAGGCACAATCAGATCTCAACCATTTCCAGTGGAAATGCCTGAGGCCCTGCATTTCTAAAAATCAGGTGACAAAAGTACACCTAACTGTTGAGAAATCAAAATAAAGCTGCATAGCTCAAGAACTCAGAGAACCTGGCAGAAATATTCTAAACGATGTTGTGGCTCAGTCAGTAGTGTGGCTCACGTTACTTTAATCACAAGTTCATTGTGTACTTGCACGATCGGATCCTTAGTACTTAGTAACAAACAAAGTAAGGCTGTCTGTGTCAAAGCTTGGAAGCGAGTCTATTCCGTTTTAGCAATAAGATACATGTGCAGCCTTTACCACCAATACAGAAATGTTTGCATTAAAAATACAAGAATTTCATTTTTAAATTAAAAGCATACATCAATGGAATGCAATTCTGTTTCGCAACATCACAGTTATATAGATTGGAAACACAGTCACAGGAACAAGACTCTTAACTTAAAAAAAACATGATCTTGCCACATCAGATATTTCACGGGCACCAAGGCTCCACCAACTCCAGTGTTTAGTCATATTTACATTCTACTTCTGACCCACAACTAGGCAGTTCATCCAGCACGCACATGCTTTAAAATGAAAAGGAAGAAAACGCAAGCCAAAAAAATTCAACAAAGATTAGAATACACCACAAATGGGTTGTTAGTTGAATTTGAAAACAAAAATAGACATAAAATACAGATGCTGTGCATGCTTTAATAAACTGTCTAGTCGCTATCACACCTGCATTAGGTGAAGTGTACTCTGGCCACCAACCTCCCATATTTTCTCCTTCAGCTGAATCAGTGCTATCCAAGGTGATGCTCAACTCTTGAAAGCATTGTTTTCTATCAAAGCTGTATTCTTCCTACACACAAAACAGGAGAATGAAGTTTAATTTAAAGAAAAAAGGAAGCGAGGGTAAAATACGTATTCTGTTATTAAAAGCAGTTTCAATTAAAAGTCCTAAAACTCAGCGAGTGATTCAGGTGCCTAAATGCAAGTATATGGGATTGCTGTGGACACTGGAGTAACGTGCCCAGCTTCCAGCTTTTATTTCCAGAAAAGCCAAGTCTCCCACAGGTTTTCTGTGGTATCTGCCAGGCCTCTGCAGACACCCTCAGGCATCTGAGAGGCCAATGGATAACTATGTTTGGATACCTTAACTGGTCCCCTGCTAAACCCCAGTTAACAGGGTTCTCTGAATCTCAGGGTAAAGGATCAGAGTCAACTAAACCTAAAATCATTCTTCCAATGGTATGTTAATGTGACAATGACGTCCTAATTCTTCTTACAAAAGATTGTGATTTTTTTCATGCAAGTTATAGCACCAGCTACCTAGAATTACACCTGAATGAACTAACACTACTTACTAATTATTCAGGAAAGCTCCACCACCAAAGAGATTTGTAAAAATTTTATCTACACTAAAAATGGCCGTAACATACTAAGCACGCACATAGCTTCAAGCATGTGACTTACTCCACAGAGAAGCTCGTTATTTTTCAACATAAAAGTAAGTATACTCATTACTCAAGGAATAGAGAGGTGTGATGCTGTTGGAATTTCTCACCTTCTGGCTACATACGTATATCATTACATTTACCAAAGTTTTCAGTTACAGAACTCATCTAAGTCCTTAAGCCCTTCACGTTTTCAAGTGTAAAGCACCATATAAGTAACGGGACTTTCCATACTTTTATTAACATACAGGTAAAAAGAAACTCATCTCTTTTAACCCACCTGAAGCTTCCTGCTGGTCTGATTGTTTTTCCTTCTTGCCTGCTGCAGCCTGCCCATTCCTTGAACTGTGGCCAGTTCCTCCTCCAGCTCCTGTTGCCCTGAGACTATGGCTGGATCAGAGCAGCCAGGAAAGAACCAGTCATCCTCAATCAGTTTTGTGCCACAGGAAAGCAATTACATTTATATCAGACACTACTGCATGAAAAGAGACTAGGGACAGACTGAACTCCCTATGAATGACTGACAGGAACAAGATTAAAGAAGCAATTCACTGCGTTCACCTTGTGATTTCCCTCCAACACTACTATGTGGAACACAAGAATAAAGTCCGCATATCTCACTGGGTAAAAAGCAAGCTGAAGTCTAACTTTTACTTCTTCATTAGCTCTAAAGGAAGACTTCATATAAGAGATTGGAAAGGGTGAGGTTATGCTGATACTAAAAAAAAAATTGCCAACCAATTAAAATGCCAAATCACATCTCACTTCAATTTACCAGGTTAAAATATACTTAATTTGTATGATAAAGGCATCAGCTGAAACAGCTGTGGTTTTCAGAATCTGAACAATCCCATTCATTTTTATGGAAATGACACGTGTCCCTTTCAACTTCAATTTCAGTATGAGCTACAAAGCCAGATAATTTGAGGAAGTCACAAGCACGTGTTACACTGCAAACTGGCATCAAACCATCTTATCATAAATTAATAATATCATTATTTTTAAGACAAATACAGAATCACTTGTAAATAAACACACTGAGTAAATTCAGAACATGAAAGCTTAGGTATGCATTCTGTTCATTGTTAGAAATGATTTTTCATTTAAAGTACATTCCCATCTGTTTTGTGATATGACAAAACATGTTTGGGGTAACAGATTAGGAAACAGATGTTTCATGCAAAGCAGACAAAACAGAACAGCCAGCGAAAAGAAATTAAAAGTAAAGGTGGCTCCATACTTTAATTGAAAGTTAGATTAATTAGGTAATTACAAATTTAGCTTTCAATTTAACCACATCAATCCACAGTTGTCCTCACAGCATGCAAAACGCAGAGAACTTATGTCGATGCATCTGTGAGGTAAACACCAGAACCTATTAGGAGATACAGCCCTACTGGGAACACTCAGCTTTCATCCAAGTTGGCCAAGGATTACTTATACCACAAATTTCATTAACACCCAGTTCTGCAACACCTACTGGATTTAAGTTCTTCCTGCAATATTTCAAAATTACATACTTAACATGTTGTCAGAAAAGATATGGGGAAGAAAGTTAAAAGGAAAAAAAAATGACCCTTTTAAAGTCAGACTGCTAAACTGGATTTGACTTCTGGGTTTAATTACACTTTAGCTTCTGCCACTGTCACTTTATCAGCATTCATTTTACACACCTTTGTTTGTCTTCAAGTATAGATTCTACAGGTTATTTATTTTTTTATCACAACACATAATGATGTAGAAATGGCAAAATAAACGTGTAAAACTAAATGCCAAATTTCGATCACGTGCCTGAAACCCATTTACCAGAACTATCACTGAAGACAGTGAAGCGACTCAAGGAGCAAGCGCTATTCCAGGTACGACTTAACTCCTTTTGGGGGGTGAGGGGGGGGGATCAACTTCTCGGAAGTTGAAATTGAGGTAATCTGGTTTTAAGTATAATCAGAACAAGTAACACACTGTCCTTTAGGAACCCAAAATATTTATGCTCTTACATATTTGACGATGAAAAAAGAATTAAATTATCATTGTCACCCGAAAAATGAAAGTATATATATCAGAACTTTAGAATGACTTAAAATACTTGGGCAAGTGTTAAAACACTTTCAGTTAAATCCAGCATTGCTTTAAGAACAACTAGGAAGGAAATGTATTTTCTAACGTTATACAGCAGCTTAGGGAGCTTTTCATTTGCAATTATATCTAACATAAAAACCAAAAAACTTCCCAGAGCACCTCTCTTCAGACACACTGCATTTAAATTAACTAATGATGTGTCTGTATTTCCTTATGTCATCATTCACACTAAATACCACAATCTTTAGGGGTCTGCAGAGGAAACAAGTCCCAGTCTAGAACCGTAACGAATACTGACACCCTCTACGCTTCTGCACCTCCCCACACAATCAACCCAAAAGGGACAATCGCCATCTATGCCAAACTGTCATAGTCTACGACAGGACGAGCAGCGGGTTCTCATATTGCTTAAAACATTGGTAGCTGATATTAATGCATGCAAGGTTTTGCAGTTTATGGGATGGAGTATCATTGGTTGTTTGGGTTTTTTTAAAAACACTACTGAATTTCACGTACTACTAAGAATACGAAAATGAATTTGATTCTTACTTAGTCACAACCACTTGCAGCAAGCCAAGAAATTTTTCTCTAGATAAGGTTACAACATAAATATGGAGTCAGCTGTTACTACAAAGAAAAGTGAAGAAAGATGATTCAGTTAATATAAATGAAGAAACAGGTATTGCAAGGCAGAAAAATAACAAAGTGAAAACCAGCATTTGTTACATGTATCGCTAAAAACCACATACCACCAATGGCAAATCTTACAAGGTACTGCTGGCAGTTTCCTCCAAAGAAGCAACAACAGAAGAAACCAGCAACAGTATATTACAAGTTGCCATCGCTGCAGGAACCTGCATGCACAAAACTGATGGGAAACTATGTTCTCCCTGGCTGACCAAATCGCAGTGTAGGGTAGGAGTGGAGGGGGAAGGGACGCTGAGCGCTCATCAGGTGTAACGGCAGGAAAAAAGAAACAGAAAGGTCATGCTTATCCCAAGGGGAAACAATGCAAAATTAAACACGGACTGACGCAGATGAAATTTTACAACTGTTATTAATATTGCATGTGAATCTGTAGTTACCACAGATGAGGTAACAGGTAGTTTTAATGAAGGGAATATTACTCTCCTTCAATTCCAAAGCATTACATGCGTAAATCGCTCAAAGAAGGAGAGATGTGGCCCTTAAAACATTTCTATGCTTACACAATGAACTTCCAAATTGATGACCTAAATAAAAAATAATTCAATCGCAGATTCAAAACAGAAGGCTCAAAATAACTAACTGGACTAATTATGATGATTGGTTGCGCCCATTAAAATTTGCCATTAATCCCCACAAGTTAACCAACAGGACAAAAATTATCATGCAGCACTAGATGGCATGGAAAAAAAGCAGTAAAAACTATCTGAAATTTAACCAGACTTTTCTAAGGTTTAATAGAAGCTGCTTCACCTTCTCATCATCTGTTTTATTAACAATTCAGAAAACTATAAAACCTGAGAGCACTTGAAATGTTATTTAATATTTTTATCTAGCTCCAAACCACGGCCAGTTACTGTTATTCAGCTGACCTACACAAGTGACACTGGCTAACAGATTACTAAATAGTCTAAGAAAGGTTTCTCATTAATGATATTTAAAGAGAAACTCCATCTTAGGTACTTTTTACTAAAGCATCACCTTCACTCATCAAATTCAAACCAACACTATAGTCCCCCACACCTTCATCAGTTGTTCTAGACAGGCAGCTTCAGTATTTCGATGGTGAACTTTTTATCATGGATCATTCATACGCAGACAAGAAGCTTTCGATACAAGTTCAAGCACAGCAGCAACGCAGATGGCAAACAGAACAAGCACATCTACTCATAAAAATTATGCAAAAAAAAGATGACTGTATGAAAAACAGATTCAAGGAAATAGTACAAAGCAGAAATTGCCAGTGTAAGCAATTTCACTAACTCTACAAACCTTATGACTACAAAATTCAGCCATAGTGATGTGCTATAATCCAGTCTGAGTACAGCAGACACAAGCATACATGTATCTCATGTACAAACACGATAATTTTATCGTAAATAAAACAACTCACCTTCTCTTTCCTCCTCAATCTGAGCCATTCTGAAGGCCATAGCAGATTTCTCTTCCCTGACTTGATCGCGGGACTCCTCCGACTCTGGTACATTTTCTTGCCATTCCAAGAGCTGACTCTGCAATTCATCCACGCTACCCGATTCGCTGGCCTAACACGAGAAATTGTGCATGACAATATATTTACCAAATCCCACCGCAAACGTAAATAACATTGAAGTTGGTGAACATTCACAGAGAAAACAATCCATTACAATTCACCACTTGGCATAAACAAAAATCTCTGAAAGTGATAACTGCTAATGTAGACTACGTAAAACCCAAAGCCTCACCACTTTGCAAAACACCAAAAATGCTACTGCCAGTTGCACTTTCAATCTGAAAGATTTTAACCAAATATTTTCTTTAATCAAAATATTTTTGTCGCACATTTTCACCTCAGCAATGTTTCAAAGTAAAACAATACTCCACTATGTGGGATAACAAATCTCTACTCATTTTTTTCTGTGAACAGAATAAAACCATTTCTGCCTTCCCATCAAAATAAAAACTATTTTAAGACTTTACCAAAAAAAACCCAACTTATTCACAAAATTTGGGAGACACAGTTCTTTTTTTAGCAAAATATAAGTAACTGTTTCAAACTGGCTCCGCTCTAGGGCTGTACAAAGTTACCACAATTAACGTACACCGTTAAAGCCCTTCAGCAATATTTTCCCAGTCTTCTCATTTTCTTACCTGGACCTGTACATTTGTCAAGGTTACAGCTATTTCCTCCTGAAAGCTATTCACATGTATACAAAATAACAGCCACACTTTGCTGACTCATGTTAATTGTAGCCAAATAAATAGTAAACTGCTTGGAAAAATATAATTTAAGGTACGTGGCAAAGTAAGTAGAAATCAATCTTTTTAAGCAATTCAAAACCTGTCAGCTTGTTACCCAACTGAACAGCTACCAACACTGACAATTCCATATATCACCAAATCGATTTTCAGCTCCAAAATCCAGCTAGCACACTTTTCCAAGTCTAATTAGCACTGTTCGAGTTAATTAGTAACTCCAACGAATCAATTTTAAAGTTAACCTGTGAAGCTGCCCTCTTTGTAACTTGGTCCAGATCAGCTTGCAACTTCCTTTGCTGCTCCTCATAGACTTCGAGCTTAGTCAGCAATTCTTCTACAAAAAACATAATAAATTTGGTTCATTAGGACACAAAACTAATAGGAATATAATAAAAATTAAAAGAAAGATTCAACATTAATATTCAGATGGTAATTCAGTTCAGTTAGAGGACCTCTGCTGGGCTGTGTTATCCATCTACCCATGAAACTGATTTCTTGGTTATTAAATCTTGATGAGTGCTTTGAACGTAATCTGCTAACAATTTAGGCTGAACTGAGAATTCTACCATCTTTCATTTACAGAAAGGATGTCAGAGAAAATAACACAAGGTGAGACAGAAAAATCTCTCACTTTGAAAATGAGAAAGTTCATTTTTCTTTGTCCCTTTACTTTGAATCATCTGCAAAAGAGGAAGATTTATTTTTTTTTTACCATTTTGAGTTCTGATTTCATTTAATGATTGTAGTTTTGACTGTAGTTCTTCATTTTCAGTTTCTAATTCTGAGACACGATTGTTTAAGGCAGATACATCACTGTTCTTCGATGAAAACTAAAAGAAAAAATAGGTTTTTCAAATGCATCAAAACACCAGAAACACAGCACAGTCAATGCAACTATTTTTTGGGGATTTTTTTTAGTAATATTTAGAATAGCTGTTTTTAATATTTGAAAGTGCAATAAACTACCTCATCTCTAACAAATTTACTCCTGAAGGCTGGTAACACCACTTTGTACTATTTTTTGTTGAAACTTCATCCCGTATCAGCATCTTAAGTCCATTCAATTTTTATACATCAATTCTTATATAAAGATCATAGAATCACAGAATGATTTGGGTTGGAAGGGGCCTTTAAAGGTCATCCAGCCCAACCCCCCTGCAGCGAGCACAGACAATGATAATTTGAGTAAGTTATTTTAATATTCTATTTACCCCGTATTTTACTTTTTTCAGTCAAATCTCCAAGCACAGCAGTTTAAAACAGGCACAGACTATTAAACGTAATGTTACACGTACATTTTTTAGTTCATCCTCCAGTTGTTTAATTCTTGATTTAGACCAAGCCTTCATTTTCAGAAACTTTGCTTCAGATTTGCTGGCCTCTTCTGTTTTCAATTTCACTTGTACTGAGAAAGAAGACGCAAAAAATTCTTTAAAACCATAGAAAGATTATTAATACAAGACGTACGTTTAAATCCTTTAGCAACTGGAAGTTACACACTTACACAGGACAAGTGCGTTTACAGAAAGACGTAACAATAAGAAACGTAGTGAGAGATTTATAGTTCATGTGATTATCTTGGTATTCCTATAACCCTCATTATTACAGTATTTCATCATAGATACTTTTTAACTAGCGTGGCAGTAACTCTTCCACCAAATTTAATGTAGTTCTACTTGCAACAAGTATGCAATTGGCACCCAACACGTAACGGTCCGGGGCAAAGGAACCCCTCGTATGTAACCGTGGTTTAAACAGGATACCTTCTAAATCTTCCATCTTCTCTTTGGTTATAGACTCCAGATCTCTCACGTCTTTTGAGTTAGTCTGTCCGCTCCCACTTAATTCTGCCACTTGTTTCTTAAGCTGAAACAGGGCCTGATCTTTCTCTTGCAGCTCAGTTTCATGTTTCTCTTGGATTTCATGCAGTTCAGCATTATATTTCTCCTTAACTTTTGTCATTTCAAGCTCATGTTTCTCCATCATGTCTTTTAACTGGGCTCTCATTACATGTTTCTCAGCATCCAGTTTAGACTGGAGGTTTTCTTTTTCAGACAGAAGGCGTTTCAGGTTTTCGTTAATCTCCTATAAAAAAAAAAACAAAACCAAAAAACACCTTTATATTTTAATGCAAAGTATTTTTAGTGCCACTGTCAAATACTGTAGCTGTATTCCTACGTACATTATAATCAGAAATCAGGGCTACTGTTGGTAACCTGGCTCTATTACAAAAGCTACTCAGCTCTGACTTTCCAAGACAAAAACGGGGACTTCAGAAAAATGGCATCACTATTTGAGTGCAAACTACATGTAAATGGAATAAAAAAGAATGTTTGGTTCTGTGGAATATAAAAAACAAAACAAAACAGAAGCAGATCTCTAACAGTGATCCCAAAGATTAAGAATGCTCACTACAAGGCCACACAGGTTTTGTCACCTACATCCATTAAAATTACAGTTGGCAAACTGATCTAGTTCTCATTTTATTGCTAACTAGTTTTATGTTAGTGCTTATCTACTTTAGTACTTTCATATTACTTATTTTAATATACAGAGGTAGAAAAGAGTGCAGATCACTCTAGCACAGCAGTCCACTCACATTAGACCTGCTATTCAAAAAACTACTTTCATGATACACAAACCTAGGAACATAAATTGTCCAAGTAAAGAAGCTGTGCAGAACAGCAGAGGGAACGTTTCCAAACTATGGTTAAAACTGCTTATGTAAATAAAGCAAGGCTTCCTGCTGTTTTAATGCTAAAGCTGAGATTCCACCACAGTTCAAAGTGCTTTAAGTTCATGTTGTCAGTGTCAAACCTTCCCCCTACCCTCAAGGTGTGCACTTCTGTCCCCTCAATGCGCTCGGCACAAGGTACCACCTGTTCTTGCAGAGCATCGCTATAGGAAGATGCATCTAACTCAAAAGGAAAAAAAAACAAACAAACAAACCAAAACCTCAAAACCCTGCATAAGGCAGGAGGCATAACAAATGGGAAGGACAACTGAAACAGGCTTCAACTACCACGGATCTTAACTACCCGAGCAGGACATCTGCCTAGGTACGTAGCTGAAACTATTTCTAGTAAGATTTTGATTCTGGCAGCCCTCTTGGAAAGTTGAAAATTTGTTGGAAAAGAGTATAAAATGCTGGACCTGGCACCTCAGACAGGCTATAACGTGTCTGTTTCAGCAAAGTCCAAAAAACCTATTCGAGAGGCTGCAACATCCTTTTTCTATGCTGTTGAACTGAAGCTGCAGCACTCCAAGGTTATAATCACGGTCCGTGCTAGGTGCTTAGACACCAAGAACCTCGATTAGGTATTGCTTTGCAATCAGTAGAAAGACAGCAAAAGGAAAGGCACACAACTAGCAAAACCCTCTCTGAGCAGGGAGTGGGGGGAAGCCCCAGTTCTGGGGCTCTCTGCAGTCTCTAACTAGAGAAGCTGAAATCTTTTGACAGCAAAAACTCTTCCCCTACACAGCAAGCTCCCAAAATGAATCAAGACAAACTATGGGCGAGAATTGACAGTTTTGTATTTCATGGACTCTATCTCTCCTTTAAGTTAATTTCCTAACTGGAATTACTACTTGTTTGCACATCTACGCTTGCACTGTTAGCACGTGTCAAAGCCTCCCAGGGAACCGCCTACATATTTTATGCAAAACTATCTTTTGTGCACGACCAAATCGCTTTCTGAACTTGTTATTGACCTGATGAGTTTAGTTGTGCACGTATGCCATTTCTTACTTGCAGCTGTTGGTCCTTGGCATCCAGTTCTTTTTGCAACACATCGATCACCTGTGTCCTTCCCAGCATGACTTCTTCCTTTTCATGGAGCTTCTGCTTCAAGGCCTTTAGTAGCTAGAAAAAAAAAATAAAATAATAAAAATCAAGCAAACAAAGGAGTTAAATCATTCCGAAGAGAAAGAAAAAAAGTCTTCTCTTTATTTTGCCAACCAGGCATCTGAACTGTGCTGCAGAGGTTAGTAATTACATGAGTCCAAACTCTCATGTCTCAGACAAAGCAACATACCTGTTCCAGGTCAGCACTTGCATCAGATTTAGCAGCTAATTTAAAGAGCTCCTGCTCATGCTTTTCTCTCTGTGCTTCCAGTTCCTTTTCTTTTTCCTGGATAATATTTTGAAACACACGTATCTAAAAAACACATAGAAAGTAAATGTGAAACCAGTCCACAACGGTATAGCAAAAGTACAATGAATCGTCTAACTAAAGGTACAGAAAGACAGTGTATTCTATCCTAAGTCTTATTGTTGTTTCCACTTAACAGTAAGTAATCAGCCAGTAACTAACATCATCAGTGGTGCAGGCAGATAAAACTCCAACTACATAAAGTTTGTCTTAACTCCACAATAAACTTTAAATGAGAAGCACAGTACTGTTCATTTTTATTCAGTATCACAGATCTCCACACAGTGGTGCAGGCAGATAAAACTCCAACTACACAAAGTTTGTCTTAACGCCACAATAAACTTTAAATGAGAAGCAAGTACTGTTCATTTTTATTTAGTACCACAGATCTCCACCTTTCTTTTTGGATGCCGCTGTTCTGAGACTTCTAATTTCTAAAAGATTACACTGATCATGTTCATTTCTAGCAAGTCTCTATCAATTAAGCCCAAACGGTAGCTTTGAAACCTAGCTGTCTCCTCCTCAAAACCTTGTATTCTACTTCTAACGTGTCTCTCTTAGCTATCTCACAATTTTTATAAGAATTGGATGTAACTTGTTATTTTGAATTAATTCACATAAAGTCCTACCCAGATTTATATTTGAGTGATGACACTGCTCACCAAAATGGCTTTTACAGTCTCAATTGTTTGTCTTTTTCTTTCTTTCCTGTATCAAAATGGATTCCCTGTGTGCTACTGAACAGGTGAGGTCATTTTCAGGATCAAAAGTAGCATTTTTGTTACAGATAAAATGAACTCAGACACCAGTACTGAGATAAATAGTTTCATACATGGTAGAATTCAAACGCTGAGAGATCAGGCACATCACGTTAAAATCTTAGATTTAGCTTCCAAGGGTGTTGGAAGAGCCCAGTAACATCAATGAATGGGCAACATGCTCCCTAGTCCCACTTTTTTACTTGTTTGTTTTTGTTGGGTTTTTTTAAAGTATTATTTAACAAGTTGTTGTTTGCCTTGGCCTGTTAATCAGCTGGTAACTTCTAGAGAAGTCTCCCATTAAGCATACCAAACTTCTTCAGCTATTTTTCAGTCAGGAGGAAAAACAGGTTTTTTCCATGCGCCCACGCTACGAAGTGTGCCAGACAGCTCACAGCACCAGTGAAGGCGACCTGCCAAATGGCCACTGGTGCCAAGAATGGCTACAACAATCCAAAAACACTACCAGCCACTCCCTTTTTGCACCTCGAGATATAGTGCTACAAGAAAGAGATGTTTGGAGGTTCTTCGACTGGAATTCTGCACAACTCGCTTCACTCTGCCACACGCTAGTTCCTCCGTGCCCAAACACCAGCCACATCCTTAAACTCCTTCCTTGCACAAGACTTTCAACTTCAACTGTGACCAGCACGAACCATCTACTGCTTCATTATTCTCATTTCATCTGATCGCCATATAGATCTCTACTTCAGTAATCACCCAAAATTAGAAGTGGCGTTTCTTAATTATTGAAACAGAAACACTCCAGCCAAGACACCACTTCTTCCACCAAAGAACGTAAATATTTTTACAGTGTGTTTACTTACATTTTCCATATACGTAGCTTCTTTCCCTTGGAAACGCTCTCTTTCTTTGCTCTGAGTATTTTTAAGACTCTCAATCTGTTCCTGGAACAAGCTACATTTTTCTTCACTGTCACCAACCTTTTTGGTAAGGCTCTGAACTAGAATCTGCATGCTTTGCAGCGACGACTCTTTAACAGCCAGCTGATTCTTTAGAGTGCAAACCAAAAGACAATTAGAAGAATGGCCCCAGAAAAACAGATACAGCAATCATCCTGAAGCCACCCCCTAGCCCTTCCCTCAGTTAAAGCAATGTTAAAAATCAAAATTCAGGTTTGATTTTAACTTGAATGAAATTCGTCAGCAGATTCTGAAGGCGATACCGATACGTATAAATACTGACAAAAGAAGTAAACATAAACGAACATAAACAGTAAAGAACTTTTATTCACATGAATAACTGCAGAAGATTTGTGCTTCAGAGAAGGATCCACCGTATAACACATCAGAATTCGTTGATTCCTTGAAACCTCTATGGAGATTTTATATTTGAGCTGCTAATATACCTTCAACTCTTCATTGGGCAAGAGTATTTCATTGGCAACACCACTTGATCCGCACGCTATCTGTAAATCAATGATGTAAGCATCTCTTTCAGCTAACTTCTTTTCTTTCTCTGCCAGCATGGCATCCATTTCTGCCCCACGACACTGCTGGGCCTCCAGTTCAACACTCTGAAAACGAAAAGACAGCACTGCTCGGAATCTACCACCACCATCTACAGCACAGAAGAATACTTGGCGTTATTTCCTTATCGCCTGCTTCAGGGTACTGAAAAAAATAACAATCAAATTTATAACCTGGTTCGATTTTAAGTGTCATCTTTAATCACTGAGCCTCTCTCTCTGAAATTCTGCAGCATTCACGTGCCTGCCACTTCCCACTGTCAACAGTCTTGTCCACAAAACACATCACTGCACAGAACAGCTACGGACCATAACATGAAATCATCCCTTGCCTACCTTTCTTCCTGTTGTGACTTACTTTTGCAACAAGAAAAACTGAAGCAAAACAGCATTTTTGTTCGAAATATAAGATTTAACTGTACCATTAACCCACAAAGTTCCTGTTTGTGTATCCTATTCCATTCATTTTCAAACAACTACAAAAGCATGCTTGAGGATTCACTGCTCACTGAAGACACAATGACAGAATTCTCACTGCGAGTGCTAGGGCAAGTTGTAGCATATAAACTTCTCTGTCTACTCAACAGAAAACTCAGAATATCTATTTAGTGATACAGCATATAATTAAATATAGAATATATTTAAATAAATATATTTAAACGTAACCCTACACCACAAACACGAAAAACCACACAGCATCACATAAAACACCACCTTTTTTTGTAACTCTTCATTTTTTTGGGTGATCTGGGATTCTAGTTCTTCTATTCTCCTTCTCAGTACTAATATTTTCCCACGATTTGCCGCAGCATTTTCCTGGTCACCGTCTTTCGACGCCTGCAAAAACAGGGAGTTTTGCATTCCGTAAATAGGTAACACTTGACTTCTGTACCGCTATCTCTACAGACAAAACTGGGGAGAAAAAGTGGGCTTTACTCATGGTTTGTGTTTCAGTTCTCTTATATATTACACATTCCACGTAGAAGCTAGACAAAGCAGGCACAGAATTTATACCAAGCTTGTAAAAAGATTCTTATTTCAATTATTAGTGATAATTATTGCTGCAAAGTGGACTAAAATGTGCATTCACTTCCTCTGCAATTGTAACCCATATAATCTGGCAAGTGTAGTCTATACAGCTCGGGGAGGAAAGAAGGACTATTGGCAGGGAGGGACAGTGTAAACTGAAGCGTTCCTAAGCACAGTGTTTCCAATCAGAACGTCAGTATGTGTAACTACTGCGTTATAGAAATTACTTGCCACTACAGACGAAATCAAGTGCAATTGCTAAGAAAATGCTTTATTAGCAAACCAGATCAGAAGCATAAATGCTGCATGTCTTTGAGGACACCCAGGGACTGCAACAAACTGATCTGTTCCTGCTCCCTTTCAGCCTACCTTTACAGAACTAATGCCCTAGAAATACCAAACTAACTTTAGTGAGGCTTGAAAAGCTGTATGAAGCCAAAATATGCTATTTTGAAGAAATACAAGTCTACTCACACAATTGCGCTACTACAAACAGACCTGAGATTATTTGCTAACGGTAAAACACTGGTCACCTAAATGAAATATTCTACACTTAATTTACATTTTCCCACCAAAGACATTTTTATCTTGGATATTAAAGTAGCAAGTTAGTTTTTCTTTTCATTTCTTCTCAAAAACTTATCTTTCCGATTCACATGTGTTAAAAGTTTGAGCTGCTAGGAAGATTAAGATCACTAAGAATTTTTTTTACAAAAAACAATGTGAAAGGAATTTTCTAAATTTCTATGGAAAGATAAAAGAATGAAATAGAAATACATAGACAGACTGACAGCACGCACGGTCTAGCCTGATCCTAATCTGACACAGCTCAAAATTGAACTTCAGTTTGAGTCCAGCACCCAAAAACTGTCTACAGCCTTACTTGTCTGCTTTAAAACGTAAGGACTTACCTTTTTTGGTTCTGCTTTTGCTTCTAAGCCTCCTGATTCTGATAACTGTTTCTTAAGTTCTTCCAATTGCGACGTTAATGATGCAACCTTGGCTTTGTTTTGCAGCTTCAACTTGGAGAATTTCGCATCAGCAGATTCCTTCTCCTCCTACGAACATCACGAAGGACTAAATTAGCTACATGACCAACTGCATCCTCCAGTTCTTCCATTAAAAAAAATAAATCTAAAGGGATTACCAACAAAAATAAACCTTTCCCCTGAAGAGACATTATAATGTCACATGCAACAGGTCTGCATACATGAAACAACCTTCCTTTCATTATTTAAACTTCTGCATGTGGTTGTTATTACTGTATAGAATCCCCAGCATTATGTTGTGAGCAATGCTCCTCTTTTTTGATTGCAATACAAGTTCAGAGCTTGATTTTTTAACAAGAGGGTTGGGTGTTTTGAGGCAAAAAGAAAGCCATCTTCACAGCAGTATAAAAGCATATTTCATTCTGTTTAAAGAAACAATTATGACTTTTAGAAAATTCAGTATTTTAACACTTGGCAGTTAGTATCCACAGATGATTGTCAAATTGCGAAAAATAGCCCCTTGCAGGAACAGACCAACCTTACGACTGCTCAAAACACAGAGTAAAGAATAACAAACCCTCAAAAGCCTTCAGGATATTGGATAACAGATATAGATTCTTTGCAGTTCCCTCCTTCCTAATGCCAGTCAAAAGCAGAGGATGATGTATAGCAGCATTAATAATACAATCATTATACAAAAAGACATTTACAGTGGGAGAAATAAAAAATATCATCTACAGAAATTCAGTCCGAGGCAAGTCAGCACCTCACTAAATGTCCAGTAATGATTTGGATGGTATTTTTCCCCATATTTAGCCTAAAATGACCACGCACCCCTAGCTCTCGGAAAGACAGTCTGTCCCTTGCAATTATTAAGCGCATCTCCTCATGCAGGGAACACGTGTTGCCTGGGGAATACCCCAACCCAGTTACAATTTGGGAACAGAAGACACACTGGCAAAAAGCAGTAACGTCCCGGTCACATCAGCTAGTTGTGACCAACGCCTCCTGCGTTCCAAGGGCTCCCGTAACCGACTACAAGCCTGTATTTACGAAAACAGCTCACGAAAAACAGGACTGAAAGGGTTTTCGACAAGAAAACATGCACGGTACCTTTAACTGAAGATCTTTATTCCGCAGCTCAGCATCCTTCTCCCTGACAAGCTCCTTTAGCTGCGTCACCAGCTGTTCAGTGCTTGTCAGCTGCTCAGTCAAATCCGTCACCGACATGCTCCTTGCATCTTGCGAGCCTGCAGCCTGCAGACAGTAAGAATACCTTGAACAAACACAAAATGGTGCAGACAACACTGCTTCTGCAAGAAGTCCTCAGTTGGTTTGGGGTTTTCTGATTTTTAACGCATTCAGCAAATCTTACTACAGCGCAATGCTAAAACTTACATACTCTGTACGTACCTATACCAGATGGTTTTTAGCAAGTTTGATAGACACGTGGAATTATAAATCTTAGAAACTAGTTTAGGAACGTTAGTTTGAAATACAGCAAAACCATCAAAGCAGCTAGGTACCTAAATCCGAATTTCCTCATTTACTGGATTTGCATCACAACAACCAGTAGTAGCGTTACTGAACCTGCTGGCAACACAATATTGATATTGAAGATACTCTACACCAAAAACACATCTGGGATGAAACTGATATAATTTCTACAGATGTTTTCTTAAAGCAAGATAAGCACAGTGAAGAGAAACAGAGCAGCTGCCTTACACACAAGAGATTAAACACCAAGCAGACAGGAAGCAAGAGCCTCACCTGACTTCTAGAGTCCCAAAAATGAGTCATGGTCAAACTAGTTAAGCAACTTATTTACGGAAGAACAAATATGCACAATTAGTATATCATCAATTAAAGATTCTCTAAGTCAGAAATCCTTATGTTATATATTATATTATTAGTAATTCAATACTTACTACTGTTTTGGAAGGAGAATCATCTCCACTACCCCATTTCCACATAGTTTCACAATGGCTATGAAAACATAAATGAAATAATACCACAGTAAGTACCAGTGACTCTCAGATAACTGTAATCAACTCATACTTCTCTCTACATATTTCACCGTAAAATGCTCAAAACTGATTTGTTTTTTTGACAGCACCTCTGATCTCCACCACGTTACTAGTTGTTGAGAAATAATGAAATCATATATAAAATACGCATAGTATGCCTTTTCCAAAAACTGCTAGTCAGTAAGATGTCAATACTACCAAAAATAACCCAGAAGTCTTTGCAGTAAATGGCATAACGCACTATTCAGCAAAGTTGCTTCTCCCATATATAAATAGAACATACAAACCACATATAGCTTGCTAATATTTAACCTGACCTTAAACACCACCTGCCACTACAACATAACAGGGATGATATCAGTGCATATTTCTATAAAATCATAAAGACTAAAAACATTAAAACCCATCAAACTGCTTTAACTGCTGCGTGACTGCCACGAATCTGAAAAACACACGTGTTGCAACACTTTAGGCCACTCATCAGCAGATAAAACACCGTATCTGAAACCCCAGGAACAGCAAGTGTTCCTTGCTTCTTTTGCTCACAAACAAGTACCACAAATCTCTAAATGGCATCAAAGAACCAGAAATACCTACACATAATCGCAGTTTCTAATAAATGCAAGAATAGGCCCTAACAAGGTTTAAATCCTAAAGACCAAGTAGGTCCAAGGCAGCTCAAAGGTTAAGACCTTTACTGAATAGTGGCAAACTTGGCTGAGTTAAAAAAAAATGGGTAAAGTCTACAAAATACCCCATGCAGTAAATTCCAAATTGTGTCTTTCAGATATAAGCTTAGGAGCAGACTAACATTATCTTGCTCAGCCTCTGGATAATATCGCAAATAGCAGCATGGAGTGAAAAGAGAAGCTGTACCTGTCCAGTAATTTTCACTCACAACTAGCAACACCCAGAGGAAAATAATCTGTCCTAATCTGTATTACAGACTTTTGAAATATGCATACACAGATCAGTGCTGAACCTGGAGAACAGTTTACAATAAACCTTAGCACGTAGCTTGTCCTAAAAAGTATGCAGAATGACAGGGGAGGCTGCTTTTAAAGCTGCTTATCATTTCAAAGCTAAAACCACAAATCACAGGCTGCAATCTATGCCCTAGGTTATCTACAAGGCCAAACTGGACTGTGACAAGAATCTTGTAACATTAAAATCAACAAACGAGCCATGGGCTTGGCGACAGGAATTACCGACCTTGTAAGTGAAAACCTCTCATAACCACTCCAGAGCTGTAACATCAAATCTGTTCTCAGTGACAAGCTCATTTCCAGACACATAAAAGGGTATCCCAGGTACAAAGAGGACAAAATGACTCACTAGATGTAACATGGTGGTGCATTTGTATTTATTTTATTAATATTTTAGCTCATTTCCAGCTCTGACTGAGGCAATCCATTTTGCTCACTTTGTGTGCCAGCATTTCTATCTGAACTCCTTAACTGCTACTGTCTAATGTATTTCTGTTTACATCAGAGACACTAATTATTGATGAGTTTTCCAAATCAAGCTGCGAAATAAAACTGAACAGACTTTCCTTACCCAGCATGAAGTCAACCAACAATGGCTTTTGCTTTTCTTCTGGGGCACAGACAGCAAGTTAAAGCACCGAAGCTGGCAAAGCTGCAATCTGAACGCTGGACCACTCAACTCCATCCCTTCTCCTTGCAGTACATCTAAACAGAATTCAATTCAGTTTTCTATCACCATTTCCCTTCCTTCAGCAGCCTATGTCCTGGACACAGCGCTATCAGGCACCAAGCATAACAGAAGCAGGGAATCCAACTTATCTGTGCTACCCTTTCTGAAGTTTTCACAGGGACAGATAATTTATCTTCCCCCTGTAAGTTCAAACTGCTCACTCTCCCTTTGAAGGTTTCACACCACTTCATCGCTGCCAGTACCTCATCCTGCTCCTCATCTTGCAGATTCTACTGTGTTGATAACCATTCTTTGCCACCCACTACACACTCATTTCCATTAATCTCTTCTTCACTGGGGAACAACGGGCAGGATACTCCAACCTTTCATGAAGTCCACAACATACAACAGAAGCCCACAACATACAACAGAAGCCCACTTAATTTTATGAAACAAGTTTCTTCTGATGCGCAAGGCACAACTGAGGTTTTGGCTCTCATCACAACGGGATGTTACCAACAAAAAAAAAGAAAAATCCCATTGGCAGCTCTGCCTTCATACTCATCCATTCTGTTGTCCCAGCACTAGCTGCAGCCAAATCCAGCTAAAAAACCTAACCATGTATTACTCAGCTGGGTAGTTTCCAGCCTACCTACTCCCCCTTGAGTCAGATTTCACAGGGCCCAGCACAAGGGGCACTCTACATCAGACAGGACAGATTTCAGCAGCAGCTCGTACTGAAGCAGTCACAGAAATTCCGCAGCTTGAGGGTGAGCAATCTGCATGGTAAAATATTGAACTGCATTCTCTACAAATACCTACCTGGATGCCTGCCCGGGCAGGGAAACAGTCCACTGACTCCCACAGAACTACTTGTGCTTGTCTAACCTTCCCCACATCTATTCCAAAATCACTCTGATACTAAAAATGGCTTCAAAGAACACTCATTTGAGTTCTCGCTATGAAGCTATTAGAGTAGGACCTTTCCCTCTTCTCTTGCAGAAATACAATGGAAGAAAACACTGAGGCAGAACTCCGCTTCCCTTATGGCCAGGGAAAGTAATGGTAGTCCCTTTTCTCCTCTCTTCCACAAGACTACAGCAGAAAAGCAGACAGCAGCAGAAGCGTGTAAAAACTCAGGTGTTTTATTATTTTAAATCCATTTCCTAAAACAATTTTGTGTTTAAACACACACACCAAAAGAAAAGCATTTTACTATAATTATTTTCTTCCTGTATCTGCACATTTTTTGCTTTCCCCTTGTTTGACAGCTTGCCAAGACGTTGGTTCTTCTGCTGAATAAGCCAAACTTCTTTTCAAACGGTCTGTGCCATCCGTGACTTAAAAGCTCTTGAACAAAATCTGCCCGAACACATGACACACAGCAAAGAAGCGCAAACACCGAAGCCGTGTTCCCCAAACCACAAGCACTCTGTACAGTTAATATAACAATCCATGTATACAGCTATTACTTGTGCCTGTTATAAACGCTATTTCTTAATGACACTGACCACGTTTTCCTCTTGAAAACAGCCTCCAAGGGAAGCACTACGTTGTGGCAGCGCACCACTGCCGAAATAAAAGATGAGGGCAGAGCCCCCCGCGAAGCGCAGGTGCATGTGCGTGCAGAGAAGGAGCCGCTGCCACCACAGCAGCCGGCTGC